TTTTCCCTACTCTCACAGCTGCAGGGGCTGAGGAGTTTAAGATTGGCAGGCAGGATACTGGCTGTTGACTCTAACGAATGATGAACCCAGGATCTCCAGACCGAGTGGTGGATTATTTGCTCATGGACAGTTATTGGCAGCACAACTGAATCCCGATCCACACAGAGTGTCTCTTTTCCCAGGATGTCCATAAATATACTGGAAGCAGGCCACACCCCTAAGGAAACTCCCTTTCAATGGATTGGCTGCTCAAAACACATTCATATGATCCCATCATGGGAATAACCACATCACAATTGCTTAAACCACACAAAATTGTGGTCCAGCCAAGTTGACACACAGCTCCAACTATCACACTGAGGATAATTCAAGAACAGTATATTGACAGAGCGGTAGCATTGACAGAGAGTTTCCAGAAATGCAAGCTGGCTTCAGAAGAGAATGTGGAACGAGGGATATCAGATGGATCTTAGCTGAAAGCAAAGAATACCAAAAAGATATTTATGTATGTTTTATTGACTATGCAAAAGCATTTGCTTGTGTGGATCATAACAAATTGTGGATAACATTGAGAAGAATGGGAATTCTGGAACACTTGATTGTACTCATGAGGAACCTGTACATAGATCAGGAGGCTGTCATTTGAACAGAACAAGGGAATACTGCATGATTAAAAATCAAGGAGTAGTGTGTCAAGGTTTTGTCCTTTGACCGTAGTTGTTCAGCTTGTATGCTGAGCATGTAATTCAAGAATCTGTATTATATGAAGAAGAGTCTGACATCAGGATTGGAGGAAGACTCATTAACAACCTGTGATACACAGATGACACAATTTTGCTTGCTGAAAGTGAAGATGACTTGAAGCACTTACTGATGAAGATTATAGACTACAGTTTGCAGTATGGATTACAGCTCTGTATGAAGAAGACAAAAATCCTTGTAACTGGTCCAGTAAACAGCTTCACAGTGGACAGATAAAAGATTGAAATTGTCAAGGATTTCATATTACTTGGTTCTCAAGTCAGCATTAATGGAAGCACTAGTCAAGACATCAGATGATGTATTGCATTGGACAGATCTGCTGCAAAAGACCTCTTTCAAGTGATGAAGAGCAAAGATGTCTCCTTGAAGAATAAGGTGTGCCTTACCCAGGCCATAGTATTTTCAGTCACCTCTTATGCATGTCAGAGCGGGACAATGAGTAAGAAAGACTGAAGAAGAGTTGATGCTTTCGAATTGTTGTTTTGATTGTTGGAGAAGAATGCTAGGAGTACCATGGTCTGCTAAAAGGACTAACAGATCTGTCCTGGAAGAAGTGCAGCCAGAATGCTCCTTGGAGGCAAGAATGACCAGACTTTGCCTCACCTACTTTGGTCATGTTGTCAGAACCATTCCCTGGAGAAGGATATCATTCTTGGTAAAGTGGAGGGTCAATGAAAAAGGGAAGACCCTCAACAAAATGGTTTGACACAGTGGCTACAACGATGGCCTCAGGTATAGCAAGGATCGTCAGGCTGGCACCAGACTGGGCAGTGTTTTGTTCTGCTGTGCATAGGGTCACTATGAGTCGGAGATGACTCGATGGCACCTTAACAACAACAACCTCCAGGACAGTCTATTCATTGCTTTTTTTCTTGTATGGGTCATACTTTCTTGTTTTATTGCTTGTTTTGTAATTTTTTGTTAAAAACTGGACATTTTAAATAATATAATATGGCAAGTCTAGAAATCAGGTTCTCTCCTTCTCCAGGATCTGTTATTGCTGCTTGTTGTAGTTTTTATTATTTATTTAATGGATTTTCTGTATGAATTTTGTAAAGTCTGTATTCTTTGTCCTGTGTAGCCTCTGAAGTCTCTGTTTGGTTAGCTTCATGGTCAGCTGATGATTATGCAGATTTCCTTAAACATTTGGAACCAATAATTCTCCCAGTCTTTGTTGAGGGGCTTTGTGTACATGTTGAGGCTTCCTTCAGCACTCATCCAAGTGGTTGACAGCTCTGCATTAGCCTTTTCTTCCTGCTTGCGCAGAGCTTCAAAGTTAGCAGGAGCTGAGAACTTAGGACCTTCTCAGATCTTCCTGAGCATGTGCACAGCCTTATCCATGTGCTTGGTCTTCTAGGTTCTCAGGGATGTCAGAGCTTTACAAAACCTCTATGTAAACATCTCATTCTTCAGCTTTTTCTTTTAAACTTTTTGGTTAGCCTGTTGTTTGCCCCAGCTGTTATCCATTGTCTCAAGCAGCCATGAAGTTAAACAATTTTTTCTAGATTTTTTCAACAGATGCTTTCACTGTAAGTCCTTTTGCACTGGGTGAGCTTCCAGTTACCTCAATAAAGGCAATTTTGCAAGTGAGGTCTTCCAGGGAAATACCAGACAGGTAGAATAATGCTAATATTTCTGAGAATGACACTTTGAAGAAGTTCCAACCCTGTTCTCCCTCAGATGACTGTCTTTAACCGTGACACAGGCTGTTGGTTTTCAAGGCTACTGTGGAGCTAGAGAGAAGAAGAAGATGCAAATAGAAGAGTTAGAGTGTGGTGAAGTTCACTGTTCTTATTTAGGTTTGTCTGTTTTTCTTGAATAGATGCTTTACAGATAGGTGCAAGCCTTTGGTTAATTTCCAGAGTTCTGAAAATGTCAATTCTAACCATTTTTGCTAGTTTTCTTTTTGCTTTTATTGAGAAGAGAATTTTCAGAAGTCCTTATTCCATCATTTTCTCTGATGTCACCCCTTCACTGATGTAATAACTTTCTAGACTCTTATGGAAAGGAAGGTATATTTGAACTATTTTTTTTAAAATTATGACTTTCACTGGCACCATTCACTGACATTTTTTTTATTATAAAAGCAGTACATACTCGTATAATTAATAAAATACAAAATTGTATTGATAAAATTGTTTTATTAATACAAATAATAATAACTACAACAAACAATTTTCCTTCCCAGAGGTAGCTAGCTTATTTGGCAGTTTGCAAATCTTTCTAGACTTCCTCCTATGCAAATAAAAATATATTGTGTTTAAGTGGAAATTAAGTGATGCTTCCTGTACTGTTCTGCCACCACTGGCTTGTCTCTACCATGGCAGCCTCTGCTTGATAATATATGTGGGGCTACCTAAAGGCTTTGGAGTGTTTCTTGTCATCACCATACCCTTCCCAGGTGCTTTCAGAGCGAACAGTTGATTAGAAACTCCCTTATATTAAAATACTGCCTATAAAACAGGATACTAATTAATTCATCAGCTGTTCATTGAGGCCCCACTGAGCTGGATGATGCATGTGGTGGTGAGCAGAGTGTATGGCTAACCGCCCCCCCCCCCCAAATGAGGTCTTCCAGGGAAATGCCAGACAGGTAGAATAATGTTAATATTTCTGAGAATGAGACTTTGAAGAAGCTCCCCCCCTCAAAGTTCTGGCTGTCTGCATTGCTGTAGTGGAGCATTGTGCTCAGAGATGTGCAGCCTGTTCAGGGTCCTTTCCTGAATTGTGTCCAGGAAGGCCTCCCTGAGGAGGTAACTCTTCTGAGGAATGAGTTGCCAAGGCTCTGAGGAGGAAGGAGCCAAATCCTCTACTTCATGAGCACTGAGAACATATGGGAAAGTCCTGATCAGACCTTCATTTGACAGTGGGTCTAGAGGATACATCTCTGTAGCGGACCTAGTGAGAGGAACACTCAAAAGGCAGGCTTTGAGCCCTCTCTCCTCTTGTCTCTAAGTTTACAAAAGTACATTTTATTTGATTGTATTTTATATCCTGGTATACAGGCTCAATCAAACTACTTGAAAAGAGATTATAATGAAAAGAAATACTAGTCTAAAAAAATATTGTAAAGCAAATATAAATATTTCTTACTGTCAGCATATTTTTAGTCAACAAGTGGACACCTCAGAGTTTTTGTTTTTGTAAGCATCTGTCTTTATGTTTTAAAGAAACATATTTTAGGTTTTTTAAACTAATAAAATACTAACACGTATGACATAAAACTTGAACACCTGTGTCTCCAAAATTGCACCACTGAAGAAGAACCACTGCTAGGATTGATAAGTATTCTTACAGACTTTTTCTGTTTATATTCTAATGTGCACATGTGCACACACATATTATTTTAAAGCAAATGTTGGATCATATTATATGTGATTGTTTTTCTGGTTGCTTTTTTCACTCAGTAACCCCTGAGGGTTGTTCTTCAGGGATTTTCTCTGCGTATTAGGACATTTGCATGTATATATGCACACCAAAGGTGACATACTATATGCATTGTTTTGTCAATTGCTTTTTCATACAGCAAGTCTTGGAGACTTTTAGCTCTACCTCTCTCTGTTAGTGGCTGCATTCATTCACTCATTCACTCAGCAGAGTGCCCACTGTGTCCCAGGCCCTGGGGTAGATGGGCAGTGGTTACTTAGTTATGTCCCTGCTGACAGCTGTCTAGGTTGAATCTGAGTTTTCACTGTTATAAGTAAGGTTTCAGTAAACATGCTTGAATCTGTATTTTTTGCCTGTGTTAGTTTTTGTAGATTCCTAGTAGATTGGCCATATCAAAAGAGACTCGTATTTTAAATTTTGATGAATACCAGCAAATTGCCTTTCAAAGGATTGTGCCAAGTTATCATCCCACCAGCAATATGAAATTACTTGTTAGCCATGCTTGCCTCATTACTGGACAGTGTCATTTTAACAATTTTTGTTAATATGATTACTTTGTAAGTTTAGCCTTGTGAGTTTAGAAGGTGCTTGCTGCTTGCCTAACCCACATGCCAGGTTAGGGTGCCATGCTGAGTCTCAGAGAAAAGGTCACATACTTTCCTCAGGTGGGAATTCCGTTGCCTCGCCCTCCTCTACCCCCCCCCCCCCCCCAGTCTGTGTGTTTACCTTAAAGCTAATGGGATCTCTTGGAACTCTTAAGTCTTGGGGCTTGGCTATAGCCACCTCCATATTGGCATGACCACTCATGCTGTATTGTCATGTCTTGTCTCATGCTTCGTGCTTTTTCATAGGTAGCAACTGGAAAGTGGAAGCAAATAAGTAAATACTGTCCTCTTGATCTCTACTCAGGGTAAGAAAATGCTTCTTGTTTGATTCCTCTTGCAAGGTTCTGCACTGATGGGGGTGATGCTATGTGAAGATCCCATGCTGGTGTTCCCATCAGTATCTCAGATACACCAGGCTCTACCTTTATGCTCGCAGAGTTGAGGCCATTGCTCACTTACTTGTTTTCCCTTCGGAATCTAAATCATGACCAGATTTGGTTTCCACTAATGCCAAAAACCAGTTTGCCCTAAGTCCTTGTCCTTCCTCCATCTGGAACATAAAAATTCAGTTATCTAGGCCTTTGCTTTCTCACGCCTCTGGAGAGATGAAAAAGTCTGCAATAACCTTAGCTTCTGCTGCAAGTGGTTCCTCCTGCCCTTGACAAGAATATCTTTTCTGGCTCATGCTCAGCAGCCAGTGTCCAATGGCTGACCAAAGTTCCAAAGACCCTTGAGCAAGCTTCCTAATGTCCTTAGTGCACTTACTCTAAACATGTCAAAAATGTTCAAAGGATGATTTAAACTGCTTTTGATTTATATCAATAATAATTTCCCCTTTTAGAAATAAACAAAGAATGCACTTTGCCTTGAAAAGTTTGTTACAAGAGGCACAGAACAACTTAAAGATATTCAAGGTAAGAGTTGCTTCTATTTTGTGGCAGTTTCTTGGGAGTGGAAACTAGTGGGTGGGTACCTTTAACCTGTGTCAGGCATGGGCCTGCCCAGGCCCATGTTCCCTCAAGCCTGACAAGGAGCCTGTGGCCTTGGGGATGAGCAGGTCGTTAGACTATCTCAGGGACAGCCATGGGCATCTTCATCTGTACTACAGTGGCCCTGGTACCTCCCAACCCTGCTAGTTATAGTTAGTCTGGGGCATTGTACTCATACCCTGAACCTCTGTCCCCAGAACCCTTTCTCCAGTCTCTCCTCTACTGGTACAAACTTTGAGATGTACATAGATCTTTCTGGCCCTGATGCCTGTGCTCTGTGGCTTTCAGACCTGGTACTCTGGCTTGCAGTTCTTGGTGAAACTCCATGTTCTTGGGTCCTTCAGGGAGAATGCTACCCTTCTGCCTGGATAAGGGGAAGCTTGGCCCCATCCTGCCAGGCCCAGGCTGTGTCCAGCTGCCTTCTGTCTATCTTGACCATTGTAGTTGTAATGGGCAGCACAAGGGGGTCTCAGAATAGGGGAGGAAAACAGGCAGAGCATCCAAAGTGGGAATTAGGGGATCCATGAGACTGGGTAAAACGTGAAGGGATGAGGGCAAGGGGTAAGGAGGTGGGAGAATGAGTGAAAGGGGTCAGGAGGTGAGGGGATGAGGGGGTAAGAGAGGGGAGCAGGCATGGTGAGAGGGGTGAAGGCTACATGGAGCCTGGAAAAGACTATGACTCTATCTTGGCCTAAGGGCATTAAGGTTGGGAGCTGTGCCATGTTGGGAGCATGTTCCTTTGGCTTTGGTTTTGCATCTCCTCCTACTCTCCACTGACTCTACACCATACATAACCCCTCTGCTTATGTCTGTATTGATATGAAGCAAAAGCAACCATTTGTAAGGGGCCCAGGCTTCTTCCAGAAGCAAAGGTGTTTGAAGACACGCCTGTGCTAGAACATGACTTGGGGAGAGCACTTGCCCACTCTTGTCATCATCACAGCCTCAGAGCAATGTGAAGAAACAGAGCCATCATGTGGATGCCTCCTATTAAAGCCCCTGTTTGATGATGTGGTTTTGGTTATAGAAAAGACTGTCTTCCTCTGTTTGAAAAATGTTCTAACCTAGAGTTCTTTTTAGAGGTGAATAGTGGGGGTGGGGAGGCTGGCCCCTAATCACCTTCACCCTCACCTGACTTAGAAACTCTGGATCCTGGTCCCGGGTTAGGTGGGGCCCTGGTAGGTCCTGTACTGCCCCCTGGGTCTGGCCAAGGAGAGGTGGCATTTGTCACAGAACCCAGCTTACCAGATAACTGCAAAGCTCCAAGGTAGACAAGCTTTTCTGTAAAGGATCACAACGCATGTGGTATGATGCTCTTTGCTAGTTAGTTTTTAAAATCCTTTAGGAAGGTGTACACTATGTTAGCTTGCTCCTTGTGTGGTGTGCTATGGCTGTGCTTTGAGAGCATGTCTCACCCCCTCATGCAGAGGAGGGAGACATTTAAAAATAAAAATCAAGTTTTAGTTTTAGTTTGTAAGAGGACTGGAGCTCTGGTAGCGTAGTGCCTAAGGCACTTGACTGCTAACCAGAAGGCTGGCAGTTCAAACCCACTAGCCACTCCTCGGAAGGAAGATGGGGCAATCTACTTCCGTAGTGATACTGCCTCGGAAACCCAAGGAGGGGTCGCTATGAGTCAGGTCTGACTTGACTGCATATAACAACAACAACAACAACAACAAGAGGACTTAGAGATTCTATAACTAAATCCTGAAGATAAATTCCTTTCTACCTGGGATTGCTGCCTGGGCCTGGCTGGCTTGTGTCCAGACATTGCCTTGACACTGGCTATACATCCCAGATGTGGCTGGGGCTCCTGGGCGCCCTGGTGCAGCCTGCACCCTGGCCTGGGCCAGGGATGAGAACCCTGCTGCTTCTGCTAAATCAGCCTGTGAAAATACCCAGAGGATAAGGTCTCTGTTTTCAAAAGACATGGATTATCCCAATGGGATGTACAGCTCACCACCATGACCCCTAAAACATAGCGTAGCAGAAATGTTCCAGAGCCTCACTTGGATGATGGGGAATAGTTGCCCTGATTGTGGCTGAGCAGTCTCTTTCATGCCACTGCCCTGCTACATGTTGTTAAAACTCTTTTTGTGTCTATCTTCTGCAGTCTTGCCCAGCATTGGTCCTCCCCACTCTAATGCTGGCGTTGGAGCTGAGGGTTGTGGGGCTGTGAGGTCTGTGGGCGGCCATCATCACAGGGTTGCTACTCTGCTCATTGTGGGCAACACCACTTGGGTTCTGTTACAGACATGTGATGCCCTTTAGCCCCAATGTCAGCCTTTCATTGTCCCCACCTGCCAAACCCTGACCCCTCAGCTGAGCAAGGGTTTGCTTAGTGCACTCTGTACTGTCCACAGGCTCTGGCTCAGCTGCAGCACAGAGCCAGTGACAGACAAAAGGCGGGCTCACATATTCGAGGTGCACTTTGTTGTGGACCTGGGATCACTGTGCTCGGCTGCTGCCATGCCCATCCCTATGGCCTGGTTCTGCCCCCACGACCATGCTGCTTGTTCATCACAATGCTGTGTCAGGTAATCTGGCTCAGGCAAATTTTTCTTAGCTTTTTTTTATGGTCTTTCTGATCTCCTGCCAAGTGTGGCCAATGCTTATTCCAGTTGTGTCCCCATAATTCTTGACATCTGTGAGCTCCAGCTGTCCCCCTGACATGGGACTCCCAGGGCAATCTCTGTGCTACTGAATCCCAGGACACAATCAGGGAGAGTACTCTGTCTATATTGCTTATTGAATTGAATCGACCCACACTATCTACTGCTGCATTACAAATAATCCCAAACTTAACAGCTTAAAACAATGACATTTATTATCTTTCCTGTTTATAGCTAGGCTCAAATGCTCCTTGGCTGGAGCAAGCCTGGTTACGACCTAGGGTCTTTCATGAGGCAGCCATCATCTGGAGACTGCCAAGCCAGGGGGCTGCTCAATGTGGCAGCTGTGACCTAAGGAAGAACACAGCCAAGGTGGAGCCACAGTGTCCTTGATAACTTAAATCTTATGAGTGAAATGCCATTCCTTCTGCTTTGTGCTGTTGGTCACAGACAAGCCTGGTACCATGTGGAGCGGATGTCAGGTGTGACAAATGGCCTCACCTACCATGGATTCTGGGCTTAGGACCACTGGAATACCATTTGGCCAAGGAGGTTGTGGGGAACCTTGGCTCAGCCTAACAACAGAAGGAGAGCAGCCAGAGTCCCTGAGCATGTTGAAGGGGCTGACTCAGGTATAAGTCTTTGTGGCATTGAGTCTTTTGTCAAGCCCAACTATGAGAGTGGTGACAATGCCTTCAAGTGATGGAGAGAAGAGCACCTTCTCAGGATAACAACTGCTTTTCCTTTCCCTTGGCCAAACCATATGTCACTTGTGCTATTGAAAAACCATCTTTGGCTGTTCAGTACGACTGTTCATTGGTTGTGTGCTGTGAGGGTCTGCTTACAATTTCAGAAATGTGGGAAGTGTTTTGCAGGCCAGGGTGCTAATCTACACTTCTTGAAGACTTTTCTCTTACTGTACATCCTACTGGGACTTCTCTTTGCCAATGACTCTGTGACCTCATGCTCATGGATGATTCTCCCTGTCGAGGCCAGTGTGGGGGAGGAAGCTATGTACAGGGCCTTACTGAGGATGCCAGGCACTGTGGGTCTCATCCTGCTGCCCCAGGGATGAAGGCATCTCAGTGCCTGCTGAAGTTGACATTTCCCTTCTCTTTTCCCCCAACCGAAGAATGGTGAATTAATCTATGGCGGCAAGGAAGCACGAGACTCGGTGGCTGACTGGAGTGAGCTTGCACACCACCTGAAGCCTTTCTTCTTCCCTTCCAATGGCCTGGCCAGTAGGCCACACTGCACCAGGGCTGTGATTCAGGAACTGGTGCATGTCCTTACGCAGGTGCTGCTGAGCAGCACTGATAAGAGCTGGCCAGGTACCTGGAGAACTGTGCCTGCCACACAGGGCCCACGAGCCTGCGAAGCCAGCTTCTTCAGCAGGCAGCTACGCTGTCAAGGTAGGCCCCATTCCTGGGTGGGTGGCCATTGGGTGCGGATGGTGAGAGCAGAGTTGTGCACATGGCCTGGGGAGAACATGCTGGCCTGCAGCCCCTTTGAATGTGTCCATGGACCCTCCCTCAGGTCTGATGGGTTTGTTTCTTCCAGAGCATTGTACCCACACCAGGAGGCTTCCTTCTTCCTGTCTTGATCTGGGTTTATAAATTGCAGGACATATTTGGAACATACATTATCTCATATTTGTACATCCTCTTTGTGATTTAGAATACTTTCACCTGTATTGCATCCTCATTGCCACCCTGAGGATAGGTTTTCATCAACCCTGATTTTCAGATGAAGGAAATTGTCCCACAGCTGAAAAATCCCTTAAGGCTGAGGTCTGACCTGGCAGTGAGCCTCCCCAAGACAGTGGTCTTCAAATAGCACTGATGATACAGGGGCCTATGACCCATACACTGAGGACCTGTGTGTTCCCAGAAGTGTCTGACTCACAGATAGGAGTGGGGCTGAGCCTGGAATTCAGGCCACTGAGACCCCACCCTTTCAGGTGGCCAGAGGGTAGCTGTTGTGTGTGGTACCTCTCTCAGTGGAACTTGGTGGTACCAAGAATGACACCTCTCTTGAAAGCTTGATGGGCCAGCTTGATTTTTTCCTTTCCTTTCAATATTTGTTGGTTCCTTCTTTATTTTTTTGTCATTTGCACTACAACTTTGGAAGCTCTGGTGGTGTAGTGCCTAAGGCATTTGACTGCTACCAGAAGGCTGATGGTGCAAACCCACCAGCCACTCCTCAGAAGGAAGATTGGGCAATCTACTTCTGTAGAGATACCACTTCGGAAACCCAAGGAGGGGTTACTATGAGTCAAAATTGACTTGACAGTAGTGAGTGTTTTAGTTGCACTACAACTTTATTAATATTTGGGATGTGAGAGCCATAGCCATTAACCTATTCTTTTGGGCCAACTAGGAAGACTCTGGTTGTTTACTTTTTGTGCTAAAGACACCTGTAGTCTTGAACCTGGTCTGAGACTGTGGTCTGAAGTTGAAGAAGCAGCCTGCCCATGAGACTCAACCAGCAACCCAGGCTATCCCCCATGGCCACGCCTGCCTGTGGCGTTCCCTGGGGAGGTGGGATCTGGCCTTCTGGTGCCCATCCTCCCAATAGATATCTTGCTAGCTCCTTGTTGGTGCTCCTACTTTGTGCTGATTTTTTCTTAATACAAATGAATTTTGTTTGTTTATTTTCCTTGTTGCACAAGTGATGCATGATCATTTCCAAAAAATTTAATAGGATTATGCCCATGTTCTGGGTACATAATAGCTTTTAAATAAACAACATATCTGTGGAAGGGCATATAACGCCCTAGTTGCTATGGAGATCTTAGGGAGGTGTGCACCATATACCATATAAGCTTGCGGGAAACCATAGGCTCCCACCACTCAGGTAGTGAGCACTGTGAGCCCCTGCTGGAGGGCACCTCATGGACTTTGTGGAAGAACATGGGAACAAGCATGCCCATAGGGCAGACAGTTTTTGAAACAGTAAGGTTATGCTGTATGTTTATTTTGTAACTGACCTTTTCCAATTAATTAACATAACTCTATATCAATAAATGTGTTTTTTCAACTTGTGTTGATCATGAAGTATTCCACTGTGTGGCTGCTCTGTAGTTTTAACACTCCCCTCTATGTTTGGAAACAGCTATCACTCCCCTTTTGCTCTGGACCTTGAGTGGCTGAACACACCCCACTATGGGGGGCTCAACTGGGGCTTGAAGTGCACATTAGTGCAGATGGCTATGATTGTTTCTCTATAACAGTTACCTATTATTGCCTGCAGTTATCCGTTTTTTTGTGGGAGATAGTTAGGTCCCAAAAAAACCTTGTACAGTGCCTTATACATACTAGGTGTTCAGGACATGCTTGTTGAGTCACATTTGTTTCCATATTTGTCAGTATGAGGACAAGTCCTTGGCATAGGTTTAACATTGGGGGCTTGGACCTCCACCACAGTGTTACTGGGCCATCACCTAGGCCTGCACCAGCCTGGTGCCCATTGCTACATCTCAGCATGCGTTTGTACTCTAGAATTGGCAGGTATGGTATATGGGGTGTTATCCTGTGGCAGTGGTATTTGCAAATTTGGGTGTGTCATGGTCATGTGAAATTCTGTGCATTAGTTTCTGTGGACTGAGGATCATCTCTTTGTAAACATAAATCACAAGTGACTTTCAGACTTGATGTGATGAATGTAAAGGATGGTCTGAGCAGGACAGGCTGATTGAGTGGGTTGGGCTTCTGGCCATTCATTTCACACAGACTTTTGTATCCGTCTGTCTATCCATTTCTGCAGCATCCAGTGCCTGGCAGGGCCAAGACTCTTGGGGTGCTCAAAGGGTGGCTGCACTCTTCCTTTCACTCTTCCCTTGCCTGTCTGCAACATCCAGTGCTGATCCTGTTGGCAAGTTGGAGCCTGGGCCTCCATTTCTGCATGGCCACCTCTTGGAGCTCATCTTCCGTCTTTACTCTTTGATAATAAACCTGCTCTCATTTTCCCCTGATGTTCTTGGTAGGAAAAAACACCCTGGAGCACTCGGGGTTACCGAAGGGCTGTCTTCTGTACAAAACCCTCCAGGTGCAGATGTTGGACATGTTGGACATCGAGGGCCTCTACCCTCTGTACAGCCGGGTTGAGCAGTACCTACAGGAGTTTCCTGAGCAGAGGTAAGCCATGGGCCATGGAGCCTTGCTTGTCACTAAGAAGCTCTGAGGGTGGGACTATAGGAAGAGACTGACAGCACTGCCTATGTGAAGACAGAGCCAGCCTCCTTCAGAAGTGTACCTAGTGTGTCAGTGGAGGAGAAATAGCATGTCCTAGAATACCTTCTCTGTTGAGGATAATGCCCTTCCCCTCAGGCACCATGCTCTTTGGCTCTCAGCCTGGGCCCTGTAAAGGAAGGCCAGTGGTCACCACAACATTAGTTGTTATTTATCCATTTCTACAAAAAAAAAAAGTACATTCTCTGAACTTGACATTTCCAAAATTGGGCTGTTTTGACTGTCCCTTCCACAGTATCTCCACCCACCTGTGGAGGGCAGTGTTGCTCCACATTGGAGAGCTGCTTCCTTGATTGTGGTTTCTGAGGTTGAACTATCAGTGGGTTTTTAGAGATAGTGGAGCCCCCCAAGAGCTGAGCCTCTGGTCTCTGAGTCCGCCTTGAATTGGGGGTCAGTGAAGGGTGGCAGGCGCTGGGATTTTCCTGGTCTGGATTCCTCTCCTGCACCCCTTGCCTAAACTAGTGGACATCTCTAACCTCATATGCCATTAGTCATAAAGAGAGAGCTCAGCTTCTAGGCCTCCCAAGATTCTGGTTTTGCTAGGTTTTGTTTAAACTTTGACATTTTACTAGAACAAATTTTATTTTTAGGACAGGGTATCTAAGGTTGTAATCTTTAAGGAGGCAGATCGCCACAAGGGCTCTTTGATGGATACACTGTTGTTATGTGCTGTACAGTGGGACCCGACTCATAGCGGCCCCTCCTTGAGTTTCCGAGGTGGTATCACTACGGAAGTAGTTGCCCAACCTTCCTTCTTAGGAGTGGGTGGTGAGTTTGAACTGCCAGCCTTTTGGTTAGTAGTCAAGTGCCTTAGGCACTACGCTACCCGAAGTGTTCTTTAAAATTAAATGTGCAGATTTCAAATTAAACTTGTTAACAGTTTTAGAAACAATTTTCAGCCATCTTTGTTGTCTTGGTCTTTTGTATGTGCTTTTCTCCTTCAGAAAAACATTACAAATAGATGGGCCTTACAATGAAGCATTTTATCAGAAGTTGCTTGATCGCTCTACTGATGATGATGGGACGCTGGCTTATGCATTAACAAAGGTAGGGCTGACGCCACTCCTGGGTGAGACTGGCTCTGGGCTCCTTGAATTCTTAACACAAACTTGGGGATTTTGTTTCCAAGAAATGTTGTTTCTCACTACGAATTCTTTACATTAAAGCAGAAAACTGAGGATATTAAAGGGTATTAAAAAAAAGTCTGAAAAAACTACATACTGTATTGTTCCAAATATATATCATTCTCGAAAAGGCAAACCTATAGAGGCAGTGAAGAGATCAATGGTTGGCAAGGATTCAGGAAGAGAGGAAGAGGGATGAATGGAATACATGAGTGAGTATTAGGGCAGTGAATCTATTCTGTGTGATACTGGAGGACATATGCATTTGTCAAAAAGCTGTAGAATATACAATACAAAGAATGAACCCTAAAGTAAACTGTGGACTTTAATTAATAATAATGTATCTATATTGGTTTATCACTGCTAACAGCTGTACCACAGGAATGCAAATGCAAGATGCTAATAATAGAGAAAACTGTGTGCAAGTGTGAGGGGACAATTGAGTGCTCTGCTTTCTGCATAGTTTTTCTATAAACTTAAAATTGCTCTGAAAAATAAAGTATATATATAAAAAAAATAGAGTGGCTAAAGTGTAAAGTGTCCTCTAAATTATATTGGCATGTTTTCCTAGTGCCAGGTGATAATAATACTTTAACTCTTAAAGAGAATATCCCAGCCTGCTCAGGGCCTGACCCTCCCACACAGCCTGTGAGCCCTGGCCTACCCTGAGGCCAGGTGTGAAGCAAAGCTCTCGCACCCACCCCTTGTTATGACAGGGTTGTACTCCCTGGTCTGCTTATCTGTACTTCCTTTTAAGCTGCAACAAGAGTTGACATCAACCATCTCTGTCCTGGCACCCTTTTTAGGGTATCCTGGACCCCACAACCAGTGTTTCCTGCCTACCCATGGCTGAATGAGAGTGGCTTCCTGTCCCCAGAACTTAGGCCAAGGGGTGACCTGGGAGAATTTGATAGAAAGCCCTTTTCATTTGAGATCTATGGAAGAAATTCATGGGCACTGTGAACTTGGATAGGAAAAAAATTACATGTGTACTTGTAGTAACTTTTAACTGGAACTTCCTTCCAATATGAAGGAGCTCTGGTGGCATAGTGGTAATGCACTCAGCTGCTAACCAAAAGGTTTGAACCCACCAGCTGCTCTTGGGAGAAAGATAAGGCAGTCTGCTTCTGTAAAGATCGATAGCCTTGGAAATGCTGTAGGGAAGATCTACTCTGTCCTATAGGGTTACTGTGAGTTGGAATTGACGCCATAGCACTGGATTTTGTTTTGCTTTTTTTTGCGTTATGAATATAGCCAACAACCCACTGTAGAGTAAGCAGTACCCAGAACAGAACCTTCTTCTGATAGAAATCTGCTCTCTCATTTCACATTGTTAATAGCATCGTTATGTTGATTGTTGCGTCTTGCTTGCAAAAAAAATTGTTTCTAAAAAATATTTTTGTTGTCTGGCATAATAATCCTATATATTTTATTTTATACATTTAAAATGTTATTCTCAGAAGAGTCCCTAGGCTTTACTAGACTGCCAAAGGTTTCACCAGACACTGAAACAGTTAGGAAACCCTGTTCTTGAAGGAGTTAGGCAAATTTAAAAGAAAAAAAAAAAAGGCAGCAGCAAAACAAAGAGAAGTTCCCTCTCCCAGCCTCTTCCAGTATGTGTGCTGAGCTGACCACAGCTCTTGGGCTTACTTGTGCTGGGCCTGACAAGGGGTCTGGAACCCTTATGCTTTCTCTGGCAAGAGGCCTGGCTTCTCCCTTTTCTGCAGCTGTCAATTTTTCAAGAATGTGGATTGAGGATGTCTTGTAGACTACAGATGAACCATAGAACTTTAAGGGAATTAGCTGAGATGTCCAGGACAGAGCTATTCTCAAGTTGATGGAAGACCTAGAAGCTCTCAGGAGGAATCCTCTGAATCAGAATAAAAACAGTGGGATTCATCAAGTATTGTTTATAACATGAGACACAATGCATTGACTTAGGAATAAATAAATGTTCCCTTTTTTTTTACCCCAAGAGGAACATCTTTTCATGTACATATTAGCTATTTGTATATCTTCATTGGAGAAGTATCTGTGCAAGTCATTTGCCCATTTTTTAAAAAATTTTACTGTGATTTTGTGAAAGATTACAGAGCAACTTCTTCTTCCATACAGCAGTTCACATATATTTTGTCTCATGACATTGATTGCAATCTCCCACAGTACAACAGCTCTCTTGCCACTTCCCCCCCGATAGTGACCTCTTCCCTGTGTCCTTCCCTCCATGCACTCCTGCCCCTTTCTCTTCTTCCATGATTGATCTCTCCATGGAATGTATCTATCTTATGTAAATGTTCAGCTCATATATCTGTCTTTGGTTTGGCTGGAAGCTACAGAATTGGGTTTGTGTTAGACTGGGTTCTCTAGAGAAACAAAAATCAGCAAAGCTCATATATATATATATATATATATATATATATATATATA